TAAAGGAAAGTTGTTCTTTAGTATTTTCACATGGATTATTTATAACTGGATAAGAGGAAACACACTTATTGACATGCAATGACCTATTTATAGTATAATGAGAGGGACAATATGTGTTACAAGTGCAACAAGTAGAAGTAATGGACAAGGCATTAGTGGTCTTTACTGCAGGGCTTGCACTGTTGCTCCTCAGGCAGCTTGGGCACAGGATGTACAGCCCATCTTTGACTCTACCAATCACCAGAGGCCTCTTCATTGAAGGGGCCTGCAGTATGCAACAGTGTTTGACAAACATCAATTTGTCTAGGGTGATCTTAGGAGTGAGCATCACACTACCAATTTCTGTCACCTTTACCTTGTAGCCATTTGGAAGTACAACTAATAAAGGATAGGGTAAGGTTATTATCTTAGTTAATAGGGATTTGTTAAAGGTCATGTTATTTGATGCCCCTGAATCTATAATCCATGAGTCAACTTTGTTTTTTATACACTCACATGACAGTTTACCAAAATCAATAGAGGAAGTACAAGCTATAATACCTACAAAGTTTGCTGCTCCTGATGCAATATTAGTACTAGTTGTGCAGTCTCTTCCTCCTCCTGATTGAAACTATTGCAGTAGACTCACCAACTGGTTGTATTACTCTTGAGTGAGACTCACATTCTGAGTATTATCATGAGCATCATGTTTCTCAGTTTCAGCAGGTTGTGTATCAGTGGTTGCTACATATGCATTAGCCACTGCTCTATTTCCTCTATTGAACCTATTATTCTGGTTGTTGTTGGAATTGTGATTGTAGTTGAAACTTTGTCCAGGATTTTGATTGAAGTTGGAGGTCTGATTGTGATTTGTATTTGGATTCTGATTCTGACTGCAACTTTGAGGATATCCATGAAGCTTATAACATTTCTCCTTGGTGTGCCCTGGTCTCTTACAATAATCACAAAAAGGTTTGTTTATGTTGTTGTGATTGTTACTGGGAGAATAGTTTGTCTTGAATGAACCAGGTCTATTTGTGCTAGCACTTAAAGCTGATGACTCTAGAGCCAAATGATTATTTGGCTTGATTTCTCTCTGCCTTTCCTCTTGAATTATTAACGAAAAGGCTTGGGCAATTGAAGGAAGAGAATTCATCATGAGTATACTGCCTCGAACTACAGTGTATGTCTCATTCAATCCCATGAGAAACTGTATCAACCTCTTATCCTGCTCAGCTTTGTGCATGCTTTCCTTAGCTCCACATGTACAATTACAAGTGCAATGAGATTTGACAATCAAAGTGTTGAGTTCCTCCCATAGCTTCTTCATTTTAGTGTAGTAACCAGTGATATCGAGGGCTCCTTGGGATAGATCATTGATTTCCTTTTGGATCTGGTAGAGTTTTATTCCATTTGTTTGATCATATCGATCTTCAAGTTCTCTCCACAATTCAAATGCATCTGTCACATATTCAACACTATCTGCAATCTCCTTAGTTAAGAATTTTAGAATCCATGAGGTGACCATGTCATCGCATCTTTCCCATAGTCGAAATTTTGATGAGTCTGGATCTGGTCTCTTACATTCCCCGTTGATGAATCCCGGCTTATTTTTCACTGATAGGGCTCGCATTACACCCATTCTCCATGATCGATATCCAAAACCATCAAATGGAACAGGAACCAACGCTGCTCCGGGATTATCAGATGGATGCATATATAAGGGACTACTGATATCAACACTTGACTGATTAGGCGGTTCAGCCATGGTCGGTGTAGATTGATCATCATCTTCGACAATAGTCATCTCGTACAGTATGAAATTTCTAAGTGATTGAGAACTAGAAATCAATGATTACAGATCTAGAAGCAATTTCCAAGTGATTACAAAAACAGAGAAGCTTGAAATTGATGAAAAATGAACTTGCATATGTGCGATCTGATTGAGATCGAGATTGAAGAAATTAGAACTAACAGATTCAGAGAGACGAGTCCAAACTTACGCTCCTTGCTCTGATACTATATTAAATTCATCAGTGTAACAGCAGCTTAAGCCTCAGCTAAACTTTAATGGTGATGAGAACTGGACTTCTACGCCATGGGAGGTTACAGTGAAGAGAATGAAGAAGGAGAGAGAGTGAAGCTTCTAGAATTTCATTTCTCTTCAAAATTAAAATCTGATTGGAGAGTCCACTATATATAAAAACGAAAATATTAAGAAAAATGAAGTCCACTGACTAAAGCTATTACAATTGTCATTTAACTAATACGTTCCACTAACTGACAGCTAACACTAATAACTCTGCTCCAATAACTAAGCTAGTGACTAAGCTAAGCTAAGTGAATAATTAATCTTAACAAGAACCACCAACAAAAAAAGAATTTTTATGGAAAGCGCTACTTGGTCAATACTTCAATTGGGTTGCTCCAGGTTCACCGATATTTCATATCCTTGGGGAGAGTTTGGGATATCTATTATCAAACAATCCGCTTCAAGTTATATATGTATGAATCTAGCAGTCGAAGTTGGTATAAGGTGGAAAATATAGGTGAAAATATGTTGTTTTGAGGATTAAATACATCCATTTCGATAGGATCTAGTTATCTTACTCCTGATGGATATTACAAAGGGAACCGTATTTATTTTACGGATAATAATCAAGATGAACAAACCATTGGTAAGTTGGGAGGTTATGACATTTGTTTCTATGACTTGGATAGTAGAGGTATAGAGGTCTGGCGATACAATGATAACGTTAAATACTGGTAGTGGCTGTGGCCAACACCAATTTGGTACATACACAACCCTGAAGATTTCATGAAGTATGGCTTTAGGCCCCAAATATCATTAGGTCGCCCCTGGCTTGGAGGTAAAAAATGGACATCCATTTCCGAAGGTGAAGATGCTATTTTTTATGAGGAGAAGTTATATGACGCGACACATGAAAATAACGTACATGTATTCGAGTTGTCTGCACCTTATCCGAAAAAAGTCGAAACTATAGAACCACCAACAAAAAACGAATTTCATGGAAAGCGCTACTTGGTCAGTACTTCAATTAGGCTGCTCCAGGTTCACCGATATTTCATAACCATATGGAGCCTAGAATGTACGGTAGCATTTTTTTTTTTTTGCGGCGAAGGGTCAAATATATTCCTGTACTTTCGAAAATGGTCTACATATGCATTAGTTTTTAAAAAATAAAAATATTTTGCAAATCAGTTTTTACAAAAACAAATACTTTAAAACTGAAAAAACTGAAAATATATATATATTGAAAATTTCTTTTTTTTTCAGTTTTTACAGAATATATATTTTTCAGTTTTTAAAATATTTTTAAAAAAAATATTTTTTTTTCAGTTTTTACAAAAAACATACTTTAAAAAAATTGAAAAGACTTAAAAATATATATTTTGCAAATTCCTTTTTTTTTCAGTTTTTACAAAAAATAAATCAGTTTTTACTAAATATATGCTTTGAAAAAAACTGGATTTTAAAACGGGTCGGGTGATGGGTTTTTTAAAACGGATCGGGTAAAAAAAATAGGTCATTTTCATCTGGTGCTGACACGTGGCACTCCATCCAAAATAAGGGTATATTTATTCCAAAGTATGACGGAAAGGGTATATATAACCCAATAGTATAACGAGGGGTATTTTTAGACCATTTTCGAAAGTATAGGGGTATATTTGGCCCTTTGCCGATCTTTTTGCAAAGAGTATTTGTTTTCTTCAAATTCTTACAAGTAGACGTTGTTACTGTGAATTCTCATAAGTAGATAAATTAGTTTGGTAACAATGTCTGCACATACACTGGCAGGTTAAGAAAATAAATAGATCCCACTAAATTAGGGATTTATTTTATTCCCTTCTTCCTTATTAAATGTTTCTTTCTCATCTATATGGTAATGAAAATATGAAAAATTCAACTTTTTTGGAGTTTAATTTTTTTTAATTATTTGGACATTTAGATCTATAAGCATGTATGAAGTAATGTAACTTAAATTCACTAAATATTTATAAAGCGTACATTGTATAACCGCATTTAATTTTATTTAATAATTTTATATTCTATTACATTTGAATATAACAGTTACAGATTCATCATATCTTTCTATAATAAATTTAAAGATTTATGTTATTTGTTTAGTATAAATCTGTCATAATAAATTTAAGAATCCTTTATGCCATGATTTTCTCTTCCTTTTCATTGTTTTCTCTCCCTTCCACAAAATTCAATTACTAAATAAAATGAAAGGCTTTAAATGTGAAGCATTCATGAGTCATTTTTATACTTTACATATAATAGTAATACTATATAATATTTAAACAACTACAATATGCTCTAAATATATAATATTTATACAATAAATATGTGGTATATTTATATTATAAAATTTAATATTCCGAATATACGTCGTATATATTTATCATATTGAGAAAAAGAATTATATACTATGTATATCCAAATAAAATAATATTTTATACTAATAATATTTAATTTATATTTCATAATATACTTATTAAATAAATATTAATGTATTCTACAAATCATATAATATGTATAATATCTAAATATTATAAATATCATTTATTCATCCAAATATGCACTATTATACAAGCATTCACATTTATCAATAAAATATAGTTATACCACCATTTAAAACGTTACTATAATTGAAATAGAGAGAAAGTACCAATAAAATCATAATTAATGATAATTTCATTATTAGATGGGAAACTGAAACCCTTTGGTTTATATTTAAGGAAATGAACACTTCAGATGCGTGATTGTAGGCAAGGGTTTAAAGCTTTCTGCTAGGAATATAATTATTTAGTTGCCTACGTTTGTGAAATGTTTTCTTAAATTTTGCCTATTTATGTTTTTTGCTGGGGAAAACTTATTAGGCCCAATATCCATTAGATTGATCAGCCTAACTTTAAAGCCCACAAACTCTTCTCCCGTGGGCTATGAGGCCCCTTTTATAAATACTCATAAAAATCGTCCATCCCTCTTCCTCCGTTTACTTGTAGAGAAAGAAGAGAATCCTTTTACAGAAGAACCAAATCTACACTCGAAAAGCTCCGATCAGAGATGGATCCAAAGCTAAGAGAAGTTTCACAAATTTTCGAGCGATTCAAAGCCGCTTTTGTGCGTAACGATTTCGGCGCTTGTACTACCCTACTCTCTCAGCTCAAGGTAATCGCTTCAATCAGTCATTACCACTGCTTAAACTCGTTCAAAACCCTAGCTTTTTTGTTCATAATTTTGCTCAATTTCTGAAATGTAGTATGATTAGAAATATTCTCTTCAATTAGCTTAATATTCTTATCTTTATGGTGATAATTATTATTATATAATGCCGATTTTATGTGGAACGAATTTGATGCTTGCACTCAAACTCGTCTAAAACCCTAGCTTTTATTTTTGCAATAATATTACTCATCTTATGAAAATGTGCTATTTTTAGATTTTACTCTTATGCTGCCTTAAAAATGTTCTCTTTATGATTGCATTTATTGCGAAATTTGACACTTTTGTTAGGAACGATTTTGATACTTGCAATAGGTTATCTTTCAGCTCAAGGTAGACTATATCACTGCCGCAGCTCAAACTCATACAAAACCTTAGCAGTAGTTGTCATAATTTAGCTCTTGTTATTGAACACTTTCTATTCTGTTGCCTTAGAAGACGTATCTTTATGATAGCCCCGAATGTATGGTAGGCGCACATTACGAGTTTGAACCATGCTGAGGCCTAAATCCTGGTATTTAAGTAGGAGGGTAGTAGAGAGACGGGCACATGCTACCCCAAGTTTCAGAACCTTGTGCCACAACAAGGGTGGGCCAGCTAACTCATAGAGAATTTCTTGCTTATAAAAATAATCTTATGTTAAGATAATCTTCATTATGATATTCGGGTTTATGCTTTGATGATTGTGTCCAGGAGATTAGGTAGCAATATATCAAATAGAATGTTTGGACCTAAAAGAGCTTCAAATGAGAGACATATCAACTTACACAGTCCATTCTATCCCGTATTTTCCAATGAACATATAAAAAGGGAGAAATGGTGGCTTAGAGATATTCGATAACTTAGTCCATCATCACGAGCTGGACACAACCAGCACTTCTAGGCAAAAGACTGATCCACTGATAAGTGTGAGATTTAGAGAACCTCTAGTTTTAGGGAAATCCTGAATGGAGTATTTGGAATGAGATGCACCAAACATAGCTGAATTTATATAGGGGAGTCATAATAGCCAACCTCGACTAGTTTAGGATTGGGGCATAGTTAATCAATTGAGGAGATAAGGTACCAAATATATATTGTTTTTGTGTGAATCTAGATATTAGCAATGACTTCTCTTACCTTTGTTATTGTTGTTTTTTAAAATATAAAGGACTTCTTTACCTTGTTGAAATCAGTTTTAGATAACATTTTTTTCCCATTAACTTTGATTTTTCTTATTGATGTTTTAGGTTCTGTTGACCGAATTCAAGAGCCTACCTCCCCTATTCCAAGAAACACCTAATGCCATCCATGAGTTGACAATTGCAAGTAATGTTCTGCACTCTTCTTTATCTTATTTTGTTTATTATGTTCGCCTAATTGCTTCTGAAGATGCTGGTGGTTGGTTGTTGATTGTGTATCTATGGATTATAAGTACATTATTTTGGAGATACAATGTTCTGTTATTCTCCTTCGGGGACATCCGATAAAATTGGAACGATACATAGAAGATTAGCATGGCCCCTGCGCAAGGATGACACGATTTTGTTTTTTTTTTTCCTTCCCTTTTTCGATTTTCTTTCACCACTATGTGATATGCTCTAAATTGAAAGTGTAATGTTATGTAGTCCAACCGTTTGAAAACTAAAAAAGTAGACTAGGAGAAGGAGCAGCAATGTTTCCGAACAATTTGTTACAGTTATTACTTTATTAAAATTAAATAGAAAATGTCCTCCAAGCATGCAGGGCATGCTTGAGTTCTTTCATATATATATGAAATCTGCTACCTTTTTCAAAAAAGTATGCAGGGCATGTATTCCATGAGGCCGTCTGAATGTAGACTGCTTTTCTCCTTGCTTAATGAATCACTATTTCTGATCATGTCTGGAAGTCTAGGAAAGGCAGAAAGTTGTTTGCTTGTGATTATTATTAGTATCATTATCTTTGTAGTTATAATTTAACCAAAGACCAACTATTGTTTGAAAAGTTAAATTCTATGTTTCTTTCTCAGATGGAAATGTTAATTTAAGTGAAGTGTGACCAAGGTCTTGTTAGGGAATAGATTGCAAAACTTGATTGCCTGTGATTTCAGCTTGTTATACTCTTCTGTCTTGCTTATTGTTGAGATTGTTGTTGGCTTACTAATATTAAGTGATTTACTTGAGTTTAGCCATGTATTTGGAGCTTGGTGAAATTTTATGGTTTTCTCAGTTGTCTAAACTAATAGAATTCGATGGTATAACAATTCACAGGAGATATTTACGAGCATGCGGTTGTTTTATCTGTGAAGATGGAGGATCAAGATGCTTTTGAGAGGGACTTTTTTCAGCTAAAGTCTTATTACACAGATGCACGGTATCTATGTAGTCAAGCTTTAGATCCATATGCCATTTCATTCTTCTGTGCTTGTTTGACAAAAGGGAGCAATACATATATCTGTGAGAAAGCACAGGAGAAAATATGTTATATGATATTAGATCATAAATACAATACAAGAGGTCCCTATTTATAGCTATACACTACAAGGAGATATTACTCCTCTTCCAATGTAGGACAAGACTACACTATACATATTTGTAAACTAACAATATCACCTGAGGTGGCTGAGTTAGATATTTAGATTGCTTTTCTGCTAGTTTGAATCCCTGATTTCAACTAGGATATGCTTTAGGACAAGGGGGGGAAATGCCTTAGAGCACAGTTGGGTTGGTGTATGTTAGTAGCGGTCTAGTTATTCTTGTCACATCTTTGTTTTTGTCATATTACCTGCTGGTTGGGTCTGTTTTATAGATGCATAGCAATTGAACTGAAGAAGGTGCTTATCATCTTCTCTTTCTTGTGATGATGCAGTGGTCGTCTTCCACCTTCCCCGCAGGAATACCCAATCTTAGGTCTCAACCTTCTGAGACTCCTTGTACAAAATAGAATTGCTGAATTCCACACTGAACTTGAGTTGCTTTCTCAACGTGCTTTGGACAATCCATGTATAAAGCATGCTGTTGAATTGGAGCAATCCTTCATGGAAGGGGCCTACCACCGGGTGTTGAGTGCAAGGCAGACCGTGCCAGATGCAACCTATGCTTATTTCATGGATCTGCTTGCAAAGACTGTGAGGTAAATTAATTCATTCCACCCATATTCTATACTAATAGTAGCACTTGGCAGAACAGGCTGTAGATACTGACTGCAATTTTGCTCTCTCTGGTGATTGGAAGTTTTTGGGACAACATTTTGTTGGACTGTTGCCTAAGCTTAATATTTTATATGTTCATTGGCGTAGCTGCAATCATGTTAGAGAGGTCACTTATTGCTTGATTAATGAAGTGAGATCTTTCAAGGATTAATTAGATCTACGAGAAATACTTTCTGAAGAAATTATTCAATTCCAAGGAACATAAAGAAAGTTAGAAATATATGACTCTTAATTATGTATAGAAATTCATCTTTCTCCTCCTCCCTGATTTTCCTTATTCCTTGCACTACTTAGTTAAAATGAAAATCCTAAGTTGAGAAAAAGAAATCCGCCTGAATTGAAATTCTGATTACATCTATAACTTACTGTCATTAATTGATAATTTCACTGATATTTATTTTATTTATTTGAAATTATATATTATTGGGGATAAGCATGCAAGCAGGCGCACACACACATTCATACATTTTGTTTCTGCAGTTTTATTTTTACCTATAGTAAGGTACAGTAACTGGTTTAAACCTAGTTTGTTTTAAACCAAATAGAAAGCGGTTAGTCTGGCTGCTTGAAGCTGGACATATTGA